TCCTCTGGTTACTACAAAGCCTGCCTACCATAGCCCCTGCTGGTTCACTCTACTTCTAAATAAATAACCCTGCCAATGTGACCCTGTATGGAGTGTAGGGTTCCCCTACCCAAGGCTGTGAGGATCTGTGACTAATAAACTGCTGCCAATCTTATCTGTTCAGTTTTGGGTGTCACATATTTGGCCATCTCACACTATTTAGGGTGAGATATCCCTCTATTCCCAGCAGATAAGTAGGAGGTAATCAGAATAATATGGAGTATCTAAAAGGAAGGGGAATGAAGCAGGAACAAGAAAGGAGAATATTAAAGAAGAACTATAGAGACACTGCCTAAAAACAAAAAATGTGTCTAGTCCTTTAGGCAATAATAGAATTAATTAGAAGATTAAATTTAAAAACTGGCACAACTGAGGAAAAAATACTATTTTCTATAAATTACATGTTTTTATTGAAAATTTGAATACAAATAACATTTTAAATAACATCAAGAAGCATTTTCTTAGATGAAATATTTTAAGAAAGATAGAGATGTCAGTTTGTATAGGAACATCATAGACTTTCTAAAGATGTTGTAATATTCACCCTTATCTTTAGAAATATGGAATCAGAACTGTGAACAGTTTTTCCTGCTGGTTCTGTTGAATTTCCCTTAAACCAACAATCACCAAAGGTATGCCAGTGTGAACAGAGTACTTCTCTAAAATGAAACCAATAGGGGGCTTGTTCCAAGAAATGCTTTACTAGGTAAGCAGGCTAAACGTGCTGAGCAGCAGTTTAGAGGCACTCTGCTATGTTTCCTTTTTATTTACTTATTTTTGTTTGTTTATGCTTTCAGAAAACATAGCCTCTGAAGTCCAGGCTAGTGATAATTATTCAGAACCTCTCAAAAGCACAGTTGCTTTACCCAAAGGCACTATCTTTGTAGAATTGAAGTCTTTAGATTGAACTACTCTTGGTATAAATTCGTTCTTTAGATTAAAAAATAAAAAGGCAAATATTAAATTTATTATGACTTCTGTTTGATAAAAAATGAAGAACTTGATACCAATTAAAAGATTCCATAGTCTATGATTTTTTATAATGCTCACCCTCATTTTAATGTAAGATTTCAGCTTGTACCTTCTTTGAATAAGAGAAGGAAGAAAGTGAGAAACTTAATAATGAAACTCTCCTAAGGAAATGAAAACATGATGAGGCTTACACTAGATGTCATAATTTTTTGATAACTCTCCTAAAACTCTCTTTTATTCATTCCCATTCCTCTGAAACAACCTATTATTTTGTTCTCCTATAATGTTTTATTTAAAGCTCCTCTAAAAACAGGTATTAGATTGAAACACAGTGAATTATCCATGTGGTGTTTTTTTTCTGATTTTATACTTACCCATCTTTATATCTCTAGCATGGCGGCAGGCTTTAAGTAGATATTCAAAAATATTTATCGAATTTTATTGACTGTGCTGTTTGCATCGTTAATTAATGCCAGTGGTGTTCAGGGTCTTTTGTCTCTTAGCATCTTCACCTACAGTCATTAGCATCTTCACCTAAAGTCCCACTCAAAGATCACAGGACCAACAAGAGCATCACTACAGGAAAAAAAAAAAAAAAAACTTTAAAAATTATTTGGCTCAACAGGAAGTCATCTCTAATCTAAAAGGGAAAGAAGAAAGGACTTTTGTCATTGTAAATGATCATGATGTCAACTGGTTCAGAGACTCAGTTCCTTCTTGGGTTTAGAACATGTTCTCAACTTGGCCCCTGACTTTCATCTGACTTTTAGAATGCCTGAACACAAACTGATCTTATTACTCATCTTTTTTTTTTTTTTCCTTTTTTTTTTTTTTTTTTTGTGCCACGCTCACCCTGCAAGTCCAATTAGATATGTTTCTCTTTGCCAAGCCACTCTCTGGGCTGAGAATGAAGATTCCAAAACAATAAAAGTAAGGGTTGTGTTGGTGGATTGAGCCTTCTTTGTCAAAACCAGCAGCCATATCACTTCCCAGCAGTCTTGCTTTTCAGCTGTTTTCCTCGTGTTTCATTTAACTATATCAGTACTCAGTAGTGTCTTACTGAGTTCTATTACCACTTTGCTTAATTCTCCAATTTTCTCTGCCTTAATTGTGCCTAGGCATGCTTTGCATTCAGTCACTCTTTAGTTCATGGGACCCTATTTTCAGCAAAGAAAAGTCTACATCTGTGAAGAGGCCTTGAGGGGCTGTGGCCATTGAGCTCACTTAGACCAGTCAAATCTAAAATGGATCTCTTAGAAACACAAATGGGAGCAGAGCAAGCATGGCACGGAGAAAAAAAGGATATGGAGATGTTAGTGGAATTTCATATATAAGTACCACAGACAAGTTCTACCTAATGATTTCTATCTGAATCCCTCCATTAAAGTTTTACTCCTCAGCCTTACAAAGCTTTTCCACCTATTAAAATACTGTTTACACAAATTTTGATCAGTTACGTCTCAATGTGAATGTCTTTAGCACAGTATTTCCCCAAAGCACATTTTAATAGTGGAGAGGGACTATTTCTCACAGGTAACTGCGTACCTGAGGCATCTGGGGAGGATTCCCAGAGGTGAGATAAGTAGAGCAGAAAGGAATAGCAGAGAATTCTGGCAAACAAAACTTAAGGTTTTCAGGAAGAATTGCCTTGCATTTTCATGTTGCTTAATCTCCCTATCTTGGTCCTGTATGGAAACAATAGAAATGTCTACGCTCAAAAAAGTTAATTTACTCTAAGTAAATTATTTTAATAATGGAAAATGTTTTTTCTAATTACTATGCAATTCTTAAGAATGCTGGAGTTTCCTACTGGTTATCCTACCTGAGGCAGCATACTCTAGGCAGTTGGTATTTTAAGCAGCCAGCGCTTTCCAAAAGACACAGAATGTCATTGTCTTAGTTCTGTGCTGCTCTCCACAAATAACTAACTTAGATCTGGTACTCTTATTCTTCACTTAATCACTCTTTGTAGATTGGCTGCCCTTCACTGAGATTTTTCTTGTTCAATCTATCAAAGGTATATACATGTACGTGTGTGTGTGTGTGTGTGTGTGTGTGTGTGTGTGTTACCTTAGAGTTTAGCACTTATTTGATTTACTAAACCTTCACAGGAATTTTTAACTCAAATTTATTAACCCTAGAAGTAAGCATTTATTTTTTTTCTTCATCTAATAAGAAGTCCTCTAAATCAATATCTAAATGACTCATATATTCTTTTACCATGATCAGTCACTAAGGTTTTTTGTGTTTCGCCTTCTATAATTTAGCTGATTCTTATTCTTTGACATTTTCAAAGCAAGAACAGCCTTTTTGAATTCATTAGCGGGGTCCTTAGCTGGATACTTGCCCCCTGTGAATTCTGGCCCTTCACAGTTCAGCTTTCTCCAGAACATAATTGCAAGTTCTACATCGCTCCCCTCTGATTATTACTTTTAAAAATTGCCTCTGTTGATTACCTGCGTTCTTTCAGTAAGGCCCTGTGAGACTCCTCTAATTTTTGAAGCTTTGCTGGATTCCAGTTCACCACCAGGATAAGAAGAATATGAGAACATTTTTGTCGCTTGCTATGAGGAAGTAGCTTAAAGCAATCTCTCTCCAAATGTCCTTCTGCCTCCATTTCCCACCTGCACCCCAACACACAGGCACCAGGAAATCTCAGTAGGACAGTCAAGTGCTTCATGCAGAAGCAATTAGACAAAGTTATAAGATTCTCTTCACCTTCTCCTCCATGTTCCCTGCAGCTTATGCAGCCTTCAGGGTAAGCAGGAAACAGTAGAGAAGTCACCAAGCTCACAGAACCTCGCAGCAAGCAAATCATTTCAGTGTATCACATTTAACTAATTCACTAGTTAGAGATCAGGCCTGCCAACATACTGAATCTTCCTCCCTCTGTAGTTCGATATTAACACTTAATAGAGACTTTACCTATAAACTCCCACTTTGGGAGGGGGTGTGTTTTAGGCTCCAAATGACTGGCAGTAAATTCCTTATCAAAAAATTTATGGAATTTCAGTGAGATAACCTTATTTTTGCAAAAAAAAACTTTTAATATTAATATTATATTGAGTCAGTCTTATTTACTTATAAATTATGTTTGAACGCCAGTTTGCAATTTGTCCAGCAGGGTGGTCTATTTAGTACTGACAAATGGCGACAAAGAATAACTAACAAATTTAGAATGTGACACCATAATTTCACCTGGGACATCCACGTCAGCAGTCTTTAAACTGCAAGAAAATTAAGAAAATGACAAAAGAGGAAAAAGAAGAGGAAAGTCTGGCAGTTGGCAGCTAGAAGCTGACAGCCAAAGAAGCCAGGCTGGGCTGTTAGCAACTGAACATGAACCAAAAACACAAAACAAAACTTTCACAGACAAACCCATTGTGTGACCTTGGAGGAACATAACAGTGACCCAGAGACTCTATGATGAAACTAGCTGGAAAAGACACCATGGACCCACAAAAATATGTATCTCCTCTTCCAGCTAACATGAGTGACCACTGTTTGTTCACCAGTAACGACTCTAATTTCACATTAATCCTCTCACCTCTAGCTAAAAGTTACCAAGATACCCAATCACAGCATTACCCCTGCTCCCTGACAGCCTGCAATTCCGAAAAGGCCACTGCTTTCTGTACAACCTCCTTAGAATCATCTTGTACATATTCGAGTTCCATAATAACCTCTTCATAACTCTCTTTTACCAAAATGCTGTTTGTTTGCTCTTATGTGTATTCTTCTTTGCTGCTGGAAGCTAAATAAACCCAACTTTGTTTGAGTGCAGGCCTGCATCTACAGGTCATTGGTTGATGTGTTTAAAAATGTAATACTTGTTATAAACTTAATACTTTTGTACTTCCAGTAATTCATATGCTGAAACTATACCCTCTACTGTAACAATATTAGAAGGCGGGGTCTTTGGGAGGTAATAAGGATTAGATGAGGTCATGAGAATTGAGCCCTCATTAACGGAATTTTTGTCCTTATAGGAATCCCAAGAGAGCTTGCTTCCTCTATCTGCCATTTGAGGACACCACTAGGAGACAAGCATCTAAGAACCAGGAGAGTATTAGGCCATTCTTGCATTGCTATAAAGAAATACCTGAGACTGTGTAATTTATGTTTTTTAAAAAAAGGTTTAATTGGCTCATGTTTCTTCAGGCTATGCAACAAGCATGGCACTGGCATCTGCCCAGCTCCTGGGGACACCTTAAGGAACTTTGACTCATGTCAGAAGGTGAAGTGACAGCAGGCACTTCAGATGCCAAAAGCAGGAGCAAAGAGGGGCTGTGGAAGGTGCCATATACTTTTAAATTGGCAGATCTCATGAGGACTCAGAGGGAGAGCTCACTTATCACCAAGGGGATGGCCCAAGCCATTCATGAGAAATCCGCCCCCATGATCTCAACACCTCTCACCAGGCCACACCTCCAACACTGGGGATTGCATTTCAACACGAGATTTAGGTGGGGACAAATATACAAACTATATCAATGCCAGACATTAAGTCTATTTGCCCCTTGATCTTGGACTCCTCAGCCTCCAGAACTGACTGTGAGGAATATATTTGGATTGTTTATAAGTCACCCAGTTTATGATATTCTGTTATAACAGCCTAAATGGAATAAGACAGCACTTTTTACAGATGATTAACTATAAGGACTTTATTTTATCTATACTTTCTTAAAATATTTTTAAATTACATTGATTCTATTTTTCCAAATTAATACAGTTTGACCACTGTAGGAAATTTGGAAAACACATGATTACATTTTTAAAAAGCATCTTTTTTAGCCATGCTATTTTCTACACTGGTACTACTTTTATAGATATTAATGCTACCACCATCACTTATTGATACTTACAGAGTATCAGTGACATAAATAAACAAGTTATATGTAATAATGTAGTAAGATAGAATTTTTAATCCTTACTTCACATATTAGGAATCTGCAACTAAGAAAGTTCACAAAACTAGTAAGTGGCAGAGCTAGTATTTAAGCCCCTGTGTGTTTTAAGAAATATTTTTTACATGAGGTCACTTTGTCTTATCTACTTTCTTAAAGGCTCTAACTCCAAATACAGTCATATTTTAAAATACTAGGGGTTAGGAGTTTAACATGTGAATTTAGAGGGACACAATTCAGCTCATAACATTAATACATGGTCACATTTTCTTCCTTTCTTTTAAAATATATGAAAACTTTGGATTATGTTGCATATATGGTAGAGTTCTTTTTATATACAATTATCATGAGTATTTATAACTTTAAGTATTTTATAAATATAATTTTTAATTGCATTAAATTATTTCTTAACTTTGGATTATGTTGCATATATTGTAGAGTTCTTTTTATATACAATTATCATGAGTATTTATAACTTTATTTTATAAATATAATTTTTAATGGCATTAAATTATTTCTTAATGTAGACACCTATACATTTTATCTCATAGTATCTTGGGATAATAAATTGCTAAAGTATTCTGTCTATTTAGAGAACAGTGTTGCTTTTAATTTAAAATTTTATTAGAGTGAACCTCACAGGGGTGCGAACTCCCAGGGACTCCTTTATAACATCAAAAAACTTACTAAAAAATATCTCACATATAGTTAACAATATTTGTCTTAATTCAACATATATTTAAATTTACTCTATCAAAACCTTTCAATATTTGATAAACACACATAACAGATTAAAAAACTTGTTATATCTAAGTCAACCTAAGGAATTACTAGTTTACAAACCTTGTGCTACAGAAAGAAAATTGAAACACTGTTAAGAGAAATTACTTGCTAAGTTCTGTTGTAGGTAGACTCAACATTTAAACCAGGCTTCTGTACTTCACATAACCATGTCTCAGAACTTTTGATTTTTAGTGGAAATACTGGAAAGGTTTTTTAAATTGAGTATCATTGAAATTCATTGACACACTCTCTATTTTTTTTTTTTGAAATGTTGTAAGTAGGGTCATCATATAATGTAGAGTCTGAACCAGGACTCTCCTCTCTCTCTCTCTCTCTTTTTTTTTTATAATGTGCTTTTTAACAGCCACAACCAGACATAGGTATAAATTAGAAGGGAATCAGGCAAATCAGGACCTATTATCAACATACTCCTAAGCAAAAATGTCAATTGTGGTCAAGAGACTATGAGGTCAAATCATAAGCATGGAGTACAAATATGTCACTGCTAACCACCAATATTTGTATGTTATATTTTCCAAAAGGTAGGCAAAAATGTTCAAACACTATAGTAATGGACCAAAGGGTACATGATCAAAATAGGTTTAAATAATGAGTGATGCACAATACAACTTATCATGAAATATAAAGTGCAGTTTTTAAAAAATGCACACACACATATAATTATGTATGTATACACACAGATAAGTACAATTTATTTATACAAATAAAATGTACAAATAATAATTTACTTTTTTTGTAATTTCGCAAAAAAAAAAAAAAAAGGAAGCAATGTCGGCTAAAAAAAGGGAAGTAAAACACTTCAAATTCTTCCCTTCCATTAAAAAATATTAAAAAGTGGATAAAAACTGTTGGAATCAATTTTTCTTTTTTTGAAATTCTAGGTATTAACCAAAGGGTTGTGAAAAGCTTTTTGGGAACTCTTACTCAAGAAAAACTAGGCACCATTTATTCAAGAAAAAAAAAAAAGGCTAATTCTTAGTAATAATAGCAAACTTTGTGGCATTTTAAATTGCCCCTAGCCACTCTGTACTCCAAAGCTTGGTACCCATGAAAATAACAGGCTGAGGATGAGCATGGCAGCTTATGCCTGTAATTCCAGCACTTTGGAAGGCTGGGGTGGAAGGATTGCTTGAACCCAGGAATTTGAGACCAGCCAAGGCAACAGAAAGAGACCTTGTCTCTTCCAAAAATTAGAAAATTAGTTGGGTGTGGTGACACACACTTGTAGTTTTGACTATCTGGGAGGCTAAAGTGGGAGGATTGCTTGAGCCTGGGAGATAGAAGCTACCATGAGCCATGGTCAAACCACCACACTCCCACCTGGGCAACAGAGTGAGAGCCTGAAGGAGGAGGAGGAGGGGTGGGAGGAGGAGGAGGATGAGGAGGAGAAAACAGGCTGCATTCCAGCACCAAAGTGTATAAAAGAGGAATTACTTGTAAAAAACTGTAATTAGTTATTTGATATGACCTGTTCCCAGTTGCTTGCTGAAAGAACAGTTTAAAAGGCTTGCACTTATTTTAACAACCTTTAAGCTAGCTTAGTACTAAAGTTGCTTCCCAGGTGGTATTGTGAAAACATTTATAAACTAATATCTTAGATTGCCACTGCCTGAGGTACTAGATAGCAGTTGGAACAGATAATAAGCTAACCAAAAAGCTTGAGACGAAAGGCTCAGGAATGAAATGTTATTAAGTGTTTTGAAAAGTCCCAACATATTCCTAGAATCTAAAAGCCCACCTACATGTTCAGGGCTGTATGTGTGTTCAGGAAAGGTAAGAAGATTTTGCTAAGATCTCATCTCCTGCTGACCCTGAAGCTTAGTGAAAGCAGGAAATGAAGGCTAAGGCAAAATTGTTAACTGCCTTGATGAATGTGGAAAATGTGCTCCAAATAGACACAGAATCCCTCAGCAAAGACTAGGAGATTTTTTGGTTCTAGTCACTTAAAAAAAAAAAAAATAAATAAAAAAAGACCATTAGCTGATCATGAAGAACACATAACAGAAACTCCAGGGGACATTTGTAAGAACTAATACAAACTTTATGGACTAAGTTCACGATAGTACCAAACAAGCAACAATAGCTATAATAGAATAAACAACAGATCCTGACAAATCCCTGGGAAGGAGATAGAATCTGATTTCCAAAGTTGGTGCATTCATTGTAATAGTCAAGTGTCCAGTTTACAGAATAAAAACCATGGCAATAGACAGAAAACAAAATACATTGATACGAACTATGTCTAAGAAAGCTCAGGTTTACTGACTAAGAATTTCTAGGATTGTCATTCAAGATCTACAATTTTAATAACTTCCTTGCATGATTCTAGGTTTAGAACACATTGGTACCTAACTATATTGGGAGGTTTTTGGTTGTTTTTTTTTTTTTTTCAAATTTTATTTTAGGTTTGAGGGTTCTTGTGCAGGCTTGTTGTATAGGAATTTGGTGCACAGATTATATCACTACCCAGTTAGTAAGCATAGTACACATTTGCTGGTGTTTATTGACATAAAGTATTCCTAAATGATCAAATTAAAGAATTCCATAATTTTAAATGGCCTCAGTGGACTTAAGGTTAAACTTATTTTGACTGAATATTTCTAGTAATAAGAAAAAGGGCTCATTACTCACACCAGTTACAATGGGAATCTCATAAGATTTTGTATTTCTAAAGATTGAAGAATTTCACATATATACTCATTTTTTGAGGAATGTAAAATTAATATAACTATGTTCATTCTCCAGTTACAGAAAGTTGTTTTCATAAGGGTTAAACATAGAGTAACGTATCTAGTTAGCAACATTACTAAGATTAAAAGAAAAATATACCATTTTGTTTCATTTATAAACGTACAACACACATACACACGTACATTTATACAAATCATGTGCATAGAAAAGATATTCACCAAGGTCATCTTGATGAATAAAACATTATTTTGGAATGAATAGTTTATTTTTGTGTAATTTTAATTTATTTAAAACCACCAAGAAATTCCAATATGTCCTTTATCCGTTTTCACCAATTGCCTATATTTTGCTCCACTTGCCCTACTTTCTCTTTTTTCTTCATGTATATTAAATATGTGCATATATGTGTATGTCTCTCTCGGCTTAAACAACTTCCTTTAGCATTTATTATAATGCAATTCTACGAGCAATTAATTACCTCAGTTTTTGTTTACTGAAAATATTTTTACTTGACACTCATTTTTGAAGGACATTTTTGCTGGTTATAGTATTCTGGGTTGATGGAATTTATTTCTCTTTTTCTTCATGTAATCTCATTTTTTCTTGATTTTAAGAGTTAATTATAGATAGTAAGTTATCATACATATTGCTGTTTCAATAAGTTTTTTTTAATTCAGAATTTTTTTTGAAGACATCTTTAGCTTTCGTCAGTTTGATTATGTGCCTAAGCATGGTTCTTTTTTTTTTTTTTTTGCATTTATCCTGCTTGAGGTTTACTGAGCTACTTGGAACTGTACAAATTGTTTATTTGCAAAATTTTGGAAAATTTGAACTCTTATACATTGCCAAATATGTTTTTTCAGCTCTGTTAAGTTTCTCTTCTCTCTGCAACTTCAATTACTATTGTTTTATGGTTTGCAAGTCCCTATATAATTTAAATAGTTTTCTCTATTTTTTTTCTTCAGAATAGATAATTTCTATTGACTTGATTTTCTTGTGCAGTATCTAATAAAATGTTAAGTCAATTGAGTAAAGTTTTTTTTTTTTTTTCAGATCTGGTCATTTTCAGCTCTACAATTTCATTTTAGTTCTTTTTTATATAGTATGTCTTTACCTTTTACTATTTCCTGACTGTGCAGTCATAATCTATACTTCAAGTTCTTAAACATATTTACAATAACTACATTTAAATCCTTACTTAATACAAATAAATGAGTCATCTCATTTTTTTTTCCTTGACTGATTTTTCCTAAGACTATGAATCACATTTTCTGCTTCTTTGTGTATTTTAAAAATTTCTGATGGCATGTTTGACATTGATGATGATTCATGAGATAATGTCACCATTTAAAAAAATGGTTTTGAGTTTTGTTCAATTGTAAGCTAAATTACTGGAAAATTATCTTGTCCCTGTTAGGTATACTTTTATTCCTTATTAAAACTGACCCATTTTAGTTTAGAACCTAGTCCTAAATCATGCCTTTGACTTTAAGTCAGGGTTAAGCAAATTATGACACATAGCCCAAATCTGGCCTGTTGCTTGTTTTCATGAAAAGAGATTATTGGAACACAGCCATACTTGTTCATTTGTATCTAGTCTATGGCCACATTCACATTATAATGGTAGATTTGGGCAGTTGGGACAGAAATTGTATGTCTCACAAAGCTTAAAATATTTACTATTTAGCCTTCTACAGTGTCCTTACTCTTCACTCACAGCCTTTAATGGGCTACATGTAAATGGTTGGGATGATCAATAAGGTCTTTCTATTATGGCAGAGTCAGAATTTCAATATTTTAAGGATCACTTTTTAAAACTCTTGTGTGTGAATGTGAGGGAATGTAAAGAGACTTTTCATGGCCATGGCCTTTGCCCATTTTTCTATCAAAGTGTTGGTCCTTTTATCTTAACTCTGTAGATTTAAAAAAACATGTTAGGGTTAGTACCCTTTTATATTTTATATATCTTGCAAACATTTTCTCACAGTTTTTTTGACTTTGAATATTGTTGACAAGCAAAAGATGCATTTTAATGTAGTAAAATATATTTACCATTTCCTTTGTTTTAAGAGTTCTCAGTTGCAGCATGATGGCTAGTTTGAACAAGAAAATGTTTTGTTCTGGGAATTGACCTGTGCAATGCAGGATGTGCAGTCTCATTCTTGACGTCTACCTACATGATACCAGTTACACACACCTCATTTTCTTTTCAGTTGCCACCAAATTATCCACGGACATTTCTAGATGTTACCTGTACAACCAAATCACACCTAATTGAGAACTACTATTTTATTGCATTTGAGTTTTAAATTATAAATATAAAAGCTTTTTCTACACCAATGCTGAAGTGGAATTTCTTCTAATATTCCTATGGATTTATTCATCCATTATTCATTTTTACATTTAGATATTGAAGTCATTTGGAGCTTTTTACTGTGTATGTTATAGGGTATGGATATATTTTCTTATTCTATATAGTTATATGGTTGTTCCATCATTACTTATTAAAAAGTGCATCTTTGCCCTAAAGATTTGAGGTACATGTAATGTGCTAATTTTCATATATATTAGAATTTATTTCTGTACCTTCTAGTCTACTCTTAACTCTTTCTGGCTATTTAAATTATATATAGACTGTATGGTACCTTTAATACCATACAGGGATAATATACTATTGTAGCTTTTTTATGTTTTTCTACATATTTGTTTATAATTATTTTATGTCAAATTTACTGCTAACTTGTCTAGCTTCATAAAAATATTATTTGTATTCCTTTTGAGATGTTTTAAACTTTAAAAAGCAACTTGAATGCTCATGATGTCTATGAATCATTTATCCAAGTAAAAAGAAATATATTTCCATTTAACTATATCTGTTTTTCTATCTTTCAGGGTGTTTACAATTTTTTCTTATATAACTTTCACAATTATTTAAGTTCATTTTATGCATTTTTGTCTTCATGGTTGTTACTATATATAAATTTGTAACAACCATTATTTTTTCAAACTGGCTATTTGTGCATACAAAGTCTACTAATTCTGGCGAGTAATTTTATATCCTGATGCCTTACTGATTTATATTATTGTGTGAGATAGTTTTATGTATTGATTTCATGATTTTGCAAGTACACCATTTTATCATCAGCTAATAAAGCTAATTTCACTTTGTTGTTTAAATTCTTATTTTTCTAAAAAATTTTCCGTGAATTCTTACATTGATTGATGTCACTAGTTTAATTTCATGTAGTAGTGGAAATAGTGAGCATCTGTAACTGTTTCCTGAAATTTTGTAAAACCTAGAGTAAGTATTTTCCTAGTAGACGTAATGCTTCTTTTAGGATTAAGGTATATTCAAGCAAAGACATACCCACACACATTCACCTATGCACAAACACAAAAACACACATATGCAATTTTGAGACGAAAGTTATACATTCTATATTCTTCTTCTTCTTCTTCTTCTTTTTTTTGTTTTTTTTTTGTTTGTTTTTTTGAGAGGGAGTCTCGCTCAGTCTCCCAGGCTGGAGTGCAGTGGCATGATCTCAGTTCATGGCAAGCTCTGCCTTCACTGGTTCATGCCATTCTCCTGCCTCAGCCTCCCAAGTAGCTGGGACTACAGGTGCCCTTCTTGACTATTTATATCAGAAATGTATATTGGATTTTGGAAAAAAGATTTTTCAGCATTGAGATATTCATAAAAGTTTTCTGTTTATATCTATTACTAGGGTTCATTATTTTAATGGAGTTTTAAACACTGATTTGGTATTAGTATTATAAAATATAGCCCACTTATTTATGTTTGCTATTTTAAAAGTGGTATTAAATTCTGTTTACTGATATTTTATTCAGTATTTTTGCATTGATATCCATAATTGATATGATATTAAAGTGGTTTTATTTACTTATTTAGTACTGTATCAGGTTTAGTAAATAATATTATCCTTGTCCCATAAAAATAATTAAATAATTTATATATTTTCCTTTAATTTTTATGATCTGTAAATAATGGATGCATTTTCAGGATTATCTGGTCTTTACAAGTCAAATATCTGAGCCCAGAACTTTTACTAGAATTGTTTCTTGAAAACTGTCTATATTTTTATTTAATTTATTCTGTTTAAGCCTTCTCTATTTAATTGGGTCAATTTTTTACAAATCCAAGCCCTAGGACTTTCTCCAGTTCTTCAAAGACTTCAAATTCATTTTTATAGAGGCTTGCAAAATATTCTCTTCAATTGTTATATTCCTTCTATTTAAATGGTTATTTTTTTCTTTATGAGTTCCTATGTTTTATCTTTATGACTACCCTTTAATTTTTTGTTTACTTTTATTTAAGGTCTGGAAGTACATGTGAAAGTTCGTTACATAGGTAAACATATGGCATGAGGATTTGTTGTGTATATTACACCATCACTCAGGTATTAAGCCCAGTACCATTAGTTATCATTTCTTATCCTTTCTCTCCTCCCACCTTCCCCTGTTTAGTAGACCTTAGTGTCTGAAGTTTTCTTATTTATTTTCATAAGTTCTTATTATTTAGTTCCCACTTATAAGTAAAAACAGGCCATCTTTGGGTTTCTGTTTCTGAGTTTGTTAAAGATAATAGCCTCCAGCTCCATCCGTGTTCCTGCAAAAGGTATGATCTCATTCTTTTTTATGCTGCATAGTGTTCCATGGGGTATATATACCATATTTTCTTTAATCTGTCATTGATGGGCATTTAGGCTGACTATGTGTCTTTGCTATTGTCAATAGTGCTGCAATGAGAATTCGTGTACATGTGCCTTTATAGTAGAATGATTTATGTTCCTCTGGGTATAAACCCGGTAATGGGATTACTGGGCCTAATTGTGGTTCTGCTTTTAGCTCTTTGAGGAATTACCATACTGTTTTCCACAATCATTTAACTAATTTGCACTCCCACCAAGTGTATAAGTATTCTATTATTTTCACAGCCTCACCAACATCTGTTATTTTTTGACTTTTTAATAATAGCCATTCTGACTGGTGAGATGATATCTCATTGTGGTTTTGATTTGCATTGCTCTAATGATCAGTAATACTGAGCTTTTTTTCATGTGCTTGTTGGCCACATGGATGTCTTCTTTTGAGAAGTGTCTGTTGATGTCCTTTGCCCACTTTTAAATGGTATTTTTCTCTTGTAAATTTGTTTAAGTTTATTATAGATGTTGGATATTAGACTTTTGTCAGATGAATTGTTTGCAAATAATTTCTCCCATTCTGTAGGTTCTCTGCCTAATCTGTTGGTAGTTTCTTTTGCTGTGCAGAAGCCCTTTAGTTTAATCAGATATCTTTTGTCAATTTTTGCTTTTGTTGCAATTGCTTCTGGTGTCTTTGTCATGAAATCTTCGCCGATTCCTATGTTTAGTATAATATTGCCTAGATTGTTTTCCAGAATTTTTATAGTTTTGGGTTTTACATTTGTCTTTAATCCATCTTGAGTTGATTTTTGTATATAGTATAAGAAAGCAGTCCAGCTTTAATCTTCTGCATATAACTAGCCAGTTATCAGATGGTCATAGATCATATGGTTATAGATATGTGACCTTATTTCTGTGCTCTCTATTCTGTTCCATTGGTCAATGTATTTTTTTTTTCTTTTAGCAGTACCATGCTATTTTGTTTACTGTAGTTTTGTGGTATAGTTTGAAGTCATGTAACCTGATGCCTCCAGCTTTGTTCTTTTTGTTTAGGATTGCCTTGGCTATTCAGGCTCTTTTTTGAGTTCTGTATGCATTTTAAAATCCCCAACAAAATACTTGCAAACTGAATCCAGCAGCACATCAAAAACTAATCCACAATGATCAAGTTGGCTTCATCTCCACGATGCAAGATTGGTTCAACATACACAAATCAATAAATGTGATTCATTACGTAAACAGAACTAAAGACAAATACCATAAAATTATTTCAATAGATTTTTATTTTGTTTTAGGGTTCTCCAGAGAAACAGACCAGTAATATATATTAGATAGATAGATAGAAAGATAGATAGATAGATAGATAGATAGATAGATAGATAGATAGATAGATTGATAGATAGATATTATAGGGAGTTCGCTCATGTGATTATAGAAGCTGAGAAATCTCAAGATCTGCTTTTGGCAAGCTGGAGACCCAAAAGAACCATGGGTATATTTCTTGACTTTACCTGAAGACAGACAAAGATGGATGTCCCAGCTTAAAGTCAGAGAGTGAAATCTCTCGTACTCAGACTTTTTTTCTAGTCAGTCTTTTAACAAATTGGATGTGTCAACCACAGAAATGTGCTTTACTCAATCTACTGACTGAAATATTAATTTCATTTAGAAACACTCTCACAGACTTAGTAAGGATAATGTTTAACTAAATATCTAGACATGCTGCAGTCCAGTGAAGTCAACATGTAAAACGAATCATCTCACCTTTGATCACTGTTTTTTAATTGTGGTAAAATACACATAACAACATTTACCCTTTTAAGCATTTTTGAGTATACAGTTCTGTGATATTTATTACATTCACACTGAATTACAGCCATCACCACTGTAAACCAAAAATGAAATCCTAAGTCCTCCAACTAACTGAGTGGGCCCCTCTTCTCATCCAGGGCACTCAAAAGTAAAGCCGAAACACGAGTTCAGGCCATGATGGGAATGGGTGGTCGGACATGGACATGCCTCATTATACCCTCCTCCCTTTGGAATTCAGGGAGAGCTGACCAGTATTATCATTAAAACAGAGATTAAGACAGATAATATAGATATTTTGTAACAATAAAACATCAAATTCCACCCTGACTTCAATATAGCATCAGATGACAGATAGCAGGACCTGAAAGAAATAGAAGTATTTTACCCCAAAATATATTTATTTGACATGTTTTGAAATAGCCCTGTAAAGCTATCTCTTAAGAGGAAAATCTACATTATATAGAGAATCCCCATTCCTTTCCGGGTCTTTTCCCTGATCCAGGAGACAATTAACTAAGAGTCTAGAACTTTTTTTGTTGCTTTTTTTTTTTTTTTTTTTTAGATGGAGTCTCACTCTGTCACCCAGGCTGGAGTACAGTGGCACCACCTGGGCTCACTGCAACCTCCACCTCCCGGATTCACACCATTCTCCTGCCTCAGCCTCCTGAGTAGCTGGGATTATAGACGCCCCCCACCACACTTGGCTAATTATTTTGTATTTTTAGTAGAGACAGGGTTTCACCATATTAGCCAGGGTGGTCTCAATCTCCTGACCTCGTGATCCACCCAACTCGGCCTCCCAAAGTGCTGGGATTACAGGCATGAGCCACCGCGCCTGGCCCAAAACTTCATTTTTTAATTGAATATCAAAAATTATTATTTTTTGGACCTCTCCTAAATTTCATTATTCTAGCTAACTCTCAAGATTCTTAGCTACTGTTTCTTGGTTCATGGTAATTACTGCTTCCTTTCCATTGCTGGTCTACATAAGTAAAATTTTGCCCTATGTCCTTCTTTATACTATGTCATCTAATATATCCTCTGTGGATGTACATCTACATGATTTTTGAATCTTCAAATGATATACCCAAATCTATTTTCAGAGAATGTAAGCTCTAATTAACTTGCACTGTGGTCCCAAGCAAGTCAGTTACCTTATTAGGAAGTCAATTTCCTCATCAGTAACTTGCAGAAAATAATGCTTCCCACATAGTGTTATCATTACCTTTAAAGAAGACAATGAATGGGACAGCATTTTCTAAATTATAAAATACTTCACAGTTCCACATAAGTTCTCACAGCCATTACAACTGTATTAAGATATATGTTATATCCATTAGACCAGTGCAATATAAGAACATAAAAACAGGAGATTTGTTCCGTGATTTGAGTTCAAATCCCAATTTACCACTCCTTAGATGTGAAGTACTCAGCAATTTATATAACTTCTCTGACTTAACTATCTAATATGTAAAATAAAATAAATACCTAGGTCATAAGACTGTCATAAAAACCAAATAAAGTAAATAATATAAATACCTTAGCATATTAATAAGTATTCAAAAAGTGTTAATTATTATTATTATTTTTAATATAGTAATAAATTTTAAAAAATTATCCACATTTTTTATTAGAGGATCTATGTTATGTCACTTAGCATAAATCCTTAACTGATTATAAATATATTTTATATTAGATAATATTTTAATAATCATTAGCAAATCTTATTGTTTACTTTTTATTTTTATTTCTTTTTTTTGAGATAGAATCTCACTCTGTCACTCAGGCTGGAATGTAATGGCACAATCTTGGTTCACTGCAACCTCTGCCGCCTGGGTTCGAGCAATTCTTGTGCTTCAGCCTTCCAAGTAGCCGGGATTAGAGGCATGTACCACCACACCCAGCTAAGTTTTTTTGTTTTTGTTTTTATTTTGTTTTTTTTTGTTTTTTTTTTTTAGTGGAGATAGATTTTCACTATGTTGGCCAAGCTGGTCTTGAACTCCCAACCTCAGGTGATCTGCTTGTCTCGACCTCACAAAGTGCTGGGATTATAGGCATGAGCCACGGCACCCTGCCTTCTTATTAATTTTAATAACCAATACTTTGCCTGTGGTTCTTCTGAATGTTCTCTGTAAACATCATGTCATTTGACAACAAAGGCAGTTTTTTTTTTTTAATGTTCTTATAACTTTTATCCATTTTCTTGTCATATTACATTGGCTAAAATACTGCTTATTGAATATAATCAAAAAAGATGCTTGTAAGCATCCTTGAGTTTTCTGATTTTGAAGAAAATGCTTTAAATATTTGAGAGTTAGAAATAAAATTATTGTTTCTTAATAAATAATCTTTACAATTTAAGTTTGTTCTTTTATATTTCTAATTGCAGGTATTTTTCACATGAAATCCATACAAAGAACTTTAGTAGCTAAAAAATATTCTTTGATAGTGTATTTAAAAACATACACAAACACACACACACTTCATAATATAAACACATTAGTAAAGTCTTGCAGCTATACATTCTCTTGAGTGTTGATAATATGAAAATATAAATGATTGTATGATGTTTTAGCTGCTTATGAATTATTAGGCATTGTGATAACTTTGGACTCATACAAATTTCATAACAACATTATGAGACGGCTAAAAAAAGACCATTTTACTGATGGAACCTGGAACAAAGAAAGGCTTATTTGGTTTTCCAGATTTCTAAGAATCTTCTCAGTAAATCAGAAATTTATATCAGACTGAATAACGGCAGTGTTAATCTGTTGAGCCATTACGCAATTGCATTATAAAATTATGGAATATAAGTATTTGGATTGCAGAGCTTACTTATATTTCAGGTACAATCTTAGTAACAGTTCATAGAAGCAAAGAAATTCTTTATTCTGAGAGACTGTAACATTTTTCTAACAAATGCCTTCATCTTAAACATACAAAAAACAAGCAAGATTCTGTTGTTTCTCTCAATCTCACAAACAATAATAAAACAACATTTTTTGACTCTATACTGTCTTATTATTTTATTCTTCGTTATTCTTGACAGCAAAACTTCTTGGAAAAGTTTATCTCACTTTCTCCAAATCATTTTTTCCAATTGTCTCTTAATTTTCTTGTAATCAATCTCTCATCTGTACCTCAGCAATAAAATTGTTCTTTTCATAGTTGTAAATTTTGACCATATCGCTAAATTCCAGGTCAGTTCTCAATCCTCATTTAACTCATAAAGTGACCACTGATTTCTCTTTTTGGCACCTCAGATTTCTCCCTTTTCACTTTCTTCACTTGGATTTTACAACTCCACAGTAACTTAGCGCTTTTCTTACCTCTCCAGTCACTTTATTCTTTCCTCCTTTCTTACTGATCTTCTGAAGTAAAATCAGTTCTTGGTGCTTTTCCTTCTCTATCTTCAAACACTATACTTGGTCTCATAAAGACTCAGAGCTTTAAATACTATATAATATGCTCTTAATTCCAAAATGTATCCATAGTCCAGTCTGCTCCTACATATCATACCCATATATTCAATGTCATGCCAAGGGTGAAGGAAAAGTGGTGTAGGGTGGTGTCATAATTTGAAGAGAATATATTAAGTCTGATTAAAAGTGGGTCTGCTTTTTATGATCACCATGCAATTATAGCATAGGCCATTGTTAAATACATCTCTAGGCCGGGCGCGGTGGCTCAAGCCTGTAATCCCAGCACTTTGGGAGGCCAAGATGGGCGGATCACGAGGTCAGGAGATCGAGACCATCCTGGCTAACACAGTGAAACCCCGTCTCTACTAAAAAATACAAAAAACTAGTCCCAGCTACTCGGGAGGCTGAGGCAGGAGAATGGCATGAACCCGGGTGGTGGAGCTTGCAGTGAGCTGAGATCCGGCCACTGCACTCCAGCCTGGGCGACAGAGCAAGACTCTGTTTCAAAAAAAAAAAAAAAAAAAATACATCTCTAGAGCTAAGATCCAAACAACAGTTTTCACCCTTGATAATGCTCCCATCACCCAGCAATTGATGTGCCTTGGTTTATAGCCAGCTACCTACCAGGCCTCTCCATATGAATATTTACTGAACATTAATCACAACATGCCTAAAACTTAATTGTTTCCCTTAAATTTACTCTATCTTCAAACTTTTTCATTTCTACTGAAAGGCAACCAACTGAGGTCAAAATCTGCAGTCGTCTGGGGCACTTCTGTTTTTCCCACAACCCTCATTGAATCGAGTAAGAAATCATTATTCCTCTACTGAAGTGTGTGCCTTATCTGAATGGCAGAGATCTTTGTGTGTTTGTTTTATTTTGTGTTTTTTTTTCCTTCTGATATATCTTAAGCTCAGTAAAATTTTTAAACAAATCAATAAAGTATCTATGAAAATATGTTATCATTGTTATTTTTAAAAACTTTCACTCCTTAGCAATTATTCTATCACATTTCAAGCAATCTGTGCTACTATTTGTATTTTTGACAGTTTTATGTAGTTACTATGTTGTTCTTTGAAAAGTCACTTGCCAAAACTACCTATTTTTACAACATGTCTCTCAAAGTTAAGGATTCCAAATATTGGCTTGTTTCCTCCACTGCTACATCTAACATCCATTTAACAGTATATCACGTGGAAACATAATACCATAAATTTTCATAAGCTAATCAATTAAATATTGTATATTTGCTGGATAAGACAGATATATAAAAATTTCCAAAACAGAGCATCAGGAGATAAATGAGGTAGTTTAAAGAATGGAGACATTTTAATGCTGTCACTCATGAAAAGCTTAACAGAGGAGATACCGCATGATCTGAGTCTTGGAACAATTTTAGCCAGTTGAGAGTAGGCCATTAATGTTGTGGTAATAGCGGAAGTTCCTCATGAGGGTGGCAATTGGTTGGCACATTGCAGAGTAGCAAGTGATATAGTTTTGCTGGTAACAAGAAGCAGCATGGAAGAGAATGGGAGAAAATATTTTACATGTTATAATTAGAAACTCAGTATCACTCAGAGATGTGTGTGTATGTATAAATATGTATGAATATATATATATGTGTGTGTACAAATATATATATATATATATATCCATGGGTTAAAAGGAAGCATTTCAAAATTTTTTTAGGATGAGATTGAGAAACTAGAGGGTTGTGATGAAGACGCCAAGTAAAGAGCACTGTGCCAATGAAGGTGAAACGGACTGATAATAATTTTGGAACTATACATTTGTACACTATTGATACTGTGCACAGTCCAAATCCAGATCACTGTTTCAGACATTTCTCATTAACCAAGACTCTTACTTTTGACTGAGTGCAATGGTGTGCACCTGTAGTCCCAGCTACTCAGGAGGCTGAGGCAAGAATATTTCTTGAACCCAGAAGTTCAAGGCTGTAGTGTAACATAATCACTACTGTGAATAGCCAATGTCCAGCCTGGATAATATAGTGAGGCCCTGTTTCTTATTAAGAAAATGACTGTTATTTTTAATTATGCATTGTGCTATCATATAGCCACTTCCATTTTCATAAATCCAAAACAAGACATTATTTTTCATTCAAATCTACTTTAGCTGTACTCCTAAGTCTTGTGAATAACCCAAAAGGTTATTCAATTAGTTGAAACAGAAATCTAGAACTCTGCAGATTATTTTTTCTCTTCCTCACTTAGCGTTTAATGAATCAATCAAAAAGACCTACAGGCTTCATCTCATGTCTTAATATGTTCCTTTATCTTTTTTTTTTTTTTTTTTTTTTTTTGAAACAGAGTCTTGCTCTGTCGCCCAGGCTGGAGTGCAGTGGCCGGATCTCAGCTCACTGCAAGCTCCACCACCCGGGTTCATGCCATTCTCCTGGGACTACAGGCACCTGCTACCTCGCCCAGCTAGTTTTTTGTTTTGTTTTGTTTTTAATTTTTTTAGTAGAGACGGGGTTTCGCCGTGTTAGCCAGGATGGTCTCGATCTCCTGACCTCGTGATCCACCCGTCTAGGCCTCCCAAAGTGCTGGTATTACAGGCTTGAGCCACCGCACCCGGCCTCCTTTATCTTCATCTTCCTGTAACTGTCCACTCTCAATCTTCACTTTAATTTAGCAAGGAGATACACTTGCTTCCTCTTTTACCTGTCCTCAAACCATATTTCAACGCACTGTCAAAGCTTTGTTATAAAAATATTATGCTTTGACTTCCCTGCTTAAATTCTTATGCTGGTTTCCTACTGCTTCTAGGTAGAATGTCAATATTTATGTGATATTCCAGCTCATCCATGAAAATAATAATAAATCTAGCACTGATAGAAGTAATGACACTGATAGTAGTTACAATGAGCACTAACTAGAATGCTTATTATGTGTCAGGCATTGTTTTACTCATTTTAGATAGTGTAGTTCCTTTTACTCCTCACATATTTCTAAAAAAGTAGGTGATAATGTTATGACCTGATTCTATAGACAAGGAGAGTGAGGAACAGAGCACCAAAGCAGCATATCCAAAATTACAAAGCAAAAAAGTGGCAGAACTGAAATACAAATGCATATTGTAGATTTCTCCCCATTATTTCCTGGATGCTTTACCTAAGTTCACATCCCCCAACCACAATCAAACTTTGTTTCAACTATACAGGAATAGTAGAAGTTCCTAAAGCATTGTGTTATATGGTGGAGTCGGATTGCTATTTTTTAGCAGAGTGTGAGCCCCTTGAGGGCAGAGGCTGTGTTTTATACTTCCTTCTCTCATCCAAACTCAGCAGGGCACTTTACATATTATGGATGTTTGATTTAATTATGTTCATGTAGAGTCAGTTCTGCTGTAACTGACAATTTAAGTATTGCATAAATTTCACTCTTGTGTATGGGCAATTTTGTCCTTGAGAAACACTAGGTGAACATAGAAAACCATACTTAAAAGAAGCAAGTGATATTGGAATATGCAAAATGTATACATCTCACACTCCTACCAGCTATCTTAATTCTCTGTATGCATTATGAGTCAGCCTCTACCAAATTTGGTGTCATAACTTTCCCTTTCATATAAATCTTGTTTCAGATAAATCTTTTACCACTTCACAATAATTCCCAAGCTGCAGCTTTTCCCATACCCATTTCCACAAATGCTTTCAGGTCTTTCTCAATATAAAATGTCACATTTATTGTAGTATTTACATGTTTTCAAACATATAAAATGTGTAGAACTGTTGTGCCATTTTTGCTAGGTTCCTATCTCTTTTTGTATGTGTTACTGATAAAGTATTCGAGTGTTGTGTCTCAACCCTACTTTCCTCATAAGCCCTGTAGCTTTTATTGTGCCAAGTTTTCAGAGAATAGTAAGGCTTCAGAACACACATTTCTCATTATAGCAGAACCGACTGTACTTGAATGAATTTTAAAAAGGCTGAAACTCACCCAATTATCATCTGTGGCTGAATAGCATTCTCTCAAAATTCGCACGTTGAAGTCCTCACCCCTAGTACCTCAGCATGTGACTGCATTTGGAGATAGAGGTGATTAAGTGAAAATAACGTCATTAGCATAGACTCTAATATAATATGACTAATGTCCTCATAAGGAGAGGAAATTTGAACACAAGGAGATACCACATATACACAAGCACAGAAGATAGGCCATATGAGAACATGTAAGAAGGCAGCAGTCTACAAACCAAACAGTGACATCAGGAGAAACCAAACCTGCTGACACCTTGCTCTTAGAGTTCTTAGCTTCCAGAAGGGTGAAAGTATAATTACTATTATTTAAGTCACCCAGTTGGTGATACTTTATTACGGCAGGGCTAGCAGATAGTTACGTTGACTATTTTCTATGCAGCTTTCAAGACTGAGCTAAGGCATGTATCTATTGCTTACTTGAAACATAATCCTCATCCTGAATGGGAACTTTTATCCTCAGCCTATCCCTGGCTTCATCCCAGTATATCTTTTATTTAAATTTTTTATCAAACGATGTTATAATAATTTATACTTTTTGTATCTGGTATAGGTAATACATTCTATAGACCAATTCATCTGTTTTTTAACCCTGTGCCAACAACTTCAAACATGACACTTGTAACATTGTAGACTCTGAATATAGCACTGTTACATATATTGTGGCATAAAATCAAAATAATTTTTCAATGAATTTAATGAAGAAAACCAAGAAGTAATGCATTTTATGTGAATACAATGTTAGGATGGCACATATCTACAACTGTCCACGTTTCAGATGATTAATTCTGTTTCATTTGTGGGTACATTATTCCTCTTCTGTCCATGTTCCCCTGCATCATATTAATGAAAAATCACTCAAGACTTCTAGCATGGGTGAAAGAGAAAATGATAGTACTATTGAAAAAAAAAAAAACAAAAAAACTAGAGATCTGGAGAAAAATTACAACCAAGCTTTTAACACATGAATCAATATCCCTGTATAGAATAATGCTTGGATATCCATCATCTATTGGTGGGAATATCTACTTATCTCTCAGAAAATTAGCTCATGCTGAATAAGAGTAACCTTCTACAGAGATGCTATTGCTTTGCCAAACACTATGATTGCTGCAATGAAGGAAAGGAGAATAAGTGTTTAGTGCCTAATAATTGAAAGGTAAACATAATAACTGTAGTAACATAACTGTAGTATTTATATACATGTAGGAAGGATGATAACTTTAATACTAATGATAATATTTAACATTTTTCTTTTTTTGAGACAGAGTTTCTTGTTTGCCCAGGTTGGAGTGCAACGGCGCAATCTCGGCTCACTGCAATGTCCACCTCTCGGGTTCAAGTGATTCTCCTGCTTCAGCCTCCCAAGTAGCTGGGATTACAAGCGCCCACCATCACGCCTGGCTAATTTTTGTATTTTTAGTAGAGACGAGGTTTCACCATGTTCGCCAGGCTAGTCTTGAACACCTGATCTCAGGTGATCCACCCACCTCAGCCTCCCAAAGTGCTGGGATTACAGGCCTGAACTACCACACCCAGTCCAAGTGCCGCATCTTATGATGCCACTCTAGCTCACCGTGCCGTTGTTGCTTCTAAATGTCTATGGGCTTTACCTTCTGTATAATTCATTTGTCAACTACCATGCTCTGTTTTACACTTTCCCATCAGGTTACGAATACCTTGTATTCAGATATTTCAACTGCTTTTCAAAATAAATTCTCTTTCTACCTTATAGTGAAATTGGACATATTTCTGGATTGATAAATTCTAGAATAATTTAATAAAAAATGTTAATATTATTGGGGTAATCTACCAAATGCCAGACACCATGCCACAACGTGAATTTTGTTTTATGTCTTTAAAAACTCATTGATAGTAGGTTTTGTTGTCATTGTGTGTGTGTGTGTGTGTGTGCGTGCGTGTAATGGGTTGTGATTAAAATGTATTTCTTATCTTGGGTAATGGTCAAAAAATTTCAACACCATGGTGATTTAACAAAATAGCAAACCTAGGTTACATATTTATTTTTTATCCAAAAGCAAACCTTTCGGACTTTTTTATTCTCACCATTTTGCCAGTCTGAGGTCTTGTAGATTGCAATAGTGTCTTTAGGCAGGGATGCTTGAACTATCCTGATAGCATAAACAAAATGTCAGTTGGGCTAGACTCATTTTCTCTCACCTGGCCCAGCTCCAGGAGTTCATTGATTTCTGTAATTAAATGAGTTGGAAGTAAATCCCAGGACTGTGCTGCATGTTGGTCATTGGTGCTGAGGCCTGAATCTTAATAAGCTGTTGAGTGTGATCTTGTGCCAGAGAGGCAAAGTGTTAACAGTCTTCCTGGTGCTCCCAGACCATGTAGCAATCTGGGGTTATAATTGCTTCACGCAGGACAAAATGGAGAGGAGTTAGTTAGAATGGCATTAGATTCGAATAAAATAGCATACTTCAGAAAGTGCTTAAACGACAGAATACAAAATGTGTCTTTTTTTTTTTTTTTTTTACATAAATCCAACTTGGTGACTGAAATATTCTTTAGCCTTTCTAAGTGGAATATGAAATTCAGGCTTTCAGTTTGATTGGGACAGTAGTAAGTATATAAACTAAAAAAAGCAAACAGTAAGCATTTTAGTTAATTTTCAAGTTGCTGAAGGCCATGCTAACTCAACAAATGTCATATCATTTATTGTTTTATTTCTTTGAGTCAGGTCTTAAAATTATATTATTTTCAAATTTACTTACAGAAACAAAATAAAAAATATATCAAACATATATGTCTAAATATATGACTAGAAAAAATAAAAACACATATATCTGATACATTTTTCTTTTGTTATATATGTTCAGATATGATTTTATATATATGTAAAATATGTATTCTTATTTATGATGTATCTTTATACGATGTAGCTGTATCTCTATATCTATATTATCTCATAGAATATGGTAGACAGAAAATAATCTAATCCAGTTCTTGCAAAACACTTAGTTACAAGAAATTACACAAAAAATTACAAATTGAAATTTGTAATTTCTCAAATTATAATTGAGAAATTTGTAATTGAGAAATTTGTAATTGAGACATTCCAAAAGTGGAAAATTCGGAGAGTTTTTTTTTGGAAGGCAAAACTTTAAAATCTAAATATATTTAAAGAAAAACCTGATTAAGAAAGAAATAAAACTAAAACATGGCTTTTATTTGCAAGTAGTGGAATCCTAAATCTTCAGAATTTTCTATTTGCTGGTGAGAGTGAAAAAATACTGGTTCAAATTTTATTAATGCTTTACAAATTTTTGTATCATTTAACCTGCAAAGTCCAATTTAGAAATATATTCTGAGAAATAGTGTTCATGAGAGTAAGGGAAGTCGAAACTTAAAATCCACAAAATAACCAATTAAATAATACAACTATAAAATAAAATACCATGCAAGCATTAAGAATAAAAGTGTGTTGTTATTGACATATAAATATTTTAATATACACTGGAGAATAAAAACAAGTTATAAAATGTATGTATACAGATAAGTATTATATAAACGTAGTTTTATATACACACATATACATATGTCATGTTTGCTTTATATTTCTATATTTATGTATATGATGATGAATAAAAAATAGTTGGATATGTATACAACAAAATTTTAACAGTGATTGTCTTTAGTAGTGGAACTATGAATGGTTTAACTCCATCTTTTCATATCTTCAAAATGAGCATTTATTTCTTCTGTAATTAAAAGTAACTTTTAAAAACTCACATTTTAATGTTATTCTATATAGAACGAAAATACAGTAATTTATTTACCAAGGAGATGAATAGCAAATTGAATCAAATTCATTAAATATTTATTATAACTTGAACATTTTACTTGGAACTCTGGAATATAAAAAGAAATAGAATGCCTATACAGCATTACATTTTCTAAACATAAAGCTTTGACAACTCTTTCCTCAAACGTGCAAAATGCTGCCTATGCCAATTGACTGAAGTGAAAATGTCAGTCTGGCATTGAAAGACTTTATAAAACAATCTGAACATGACTCTAACAACCCCTACCAACAAAAACAGCTAAAATTGAAGTAACAACAAATAGAACTAGAAATAACTGATTTAGTTTCTCATATTAAAAACTATACACACATACACCTATATGTATATATGTATAATCAGAGTCACTATATACACACAAACACACACATATGTATGCAAACATATATACATATGCATATGTGTGTGTGTATAGTTTCTTTTCTTTTCTTTTTTTTTTTTTTTTCGCTCTTGTTGCCTAGGCTGGAGTGCAGTGGTACAATCTTGGCTCACTGCAACCTCCGCCTCCTGGGTTCAAGCAATTCTTCTGCCTCAGCCTCCAGAGTAGCTTGGATTACAGGCACCTGCCACCACACCTGGCTAATTTTTTTAACTTTTAGTAGAGACTGGTTTTTACCAGGTTGGCCAAGCTGGTCTTGAACTCCTGACCTCAGGTGATCCACCCATCTTGGCCTCCCAAAGTGCTGAGATTACAGGCATGAGCCACCACGCCCAGCCATGTGTGTGTAGTTTTTAACATACTATACACACTATACACACACAGACACGCACATACAAATATATGTATACATACATATATATATATAAAAATATGTATATGTGTGTGTCTGTGTGTGTATATGTATGTATGTGTGTGTGTACCGTAGAGCCTCTATACTTGTGGTTTCTGAATATGGAACTCGGTATAAAGGACTGACCATAAGAAACTTCAGATCTGTGGATTTTTGTATATGAGCGGTCCTGAAATCAATCCCCTGTGGATACCAAGGGGTGACTGTATATTTTATATAATACATATACATACATATATATATAGAGAGAGGCACTAAAAGTAAATTGTATTAAGATGTTACATTTTCTCTATTTATAGGGCACTGTGTACATCACGAGAATGCATATGATACATGCCCATGACTTTGAAGAACTGGCAATCAAGTTGAAAACAGTGAGGTGACTTTGACTTCTGACTGATAATGAGCTAGAGTGAGTGGGCAGGGGCTGACTTTGCTTACGATAATTCCTGCTAAAGAGGCTAGGCAAATGGGGATCAAACCTGGCGTCTGCCCACTGGTGACTGCATTCTTTCTTAGATGGCTTCCTGTAGATGCTCCTAGGGTATACTTCTAGGTAAACATATTTACAGCTTTTTGACTCCTGTAAAGCCTGTTGAGGAGTAGACTGTCAATACGTCATTTCTCACTGGTTGCTTTTAAGATCTTCTCTGCATTTTTTCTGTTCTACAGTTTCATTATGATAGATTTAAATATGCCACATTTGTCAACTCTGTGTATATGGATTCCAGAATATTTATTCTAATATGTCTTATAATCCCTAATTGTTTATTTAGCTATGTCTGATTTACTGATTAGGCCACCAAGTTTCTAATTTTAGAAACTACATCAATCACCTCTAGAAATTCTATTTGATGCTTGCTCAAATTCATCTTCTTTTTGTTAATTGTAGTTGTTAGTAGTTTGGGTTTTTGAGCCTTCAGTTTTTTCTTCAATAATTTTAAACATACTTAAGTTATTGTCAATATCTGATAATTATACTATGTAAAATGATCAGGAACCCGATATTCCTATTTAGTCTATAGACCGTCAAACACAGTAGATTCTTTCCTACTACGTTTTTGTAATTTAGGATTTTAGGTTTAGAATTTCTGGTGATACAACCATCACAGTAGCACTTTTTACATATGTTTACTAGTTCATAAGGAGGCAGGTAAGTAGTGTGAATTTTGCCTCGAACCTATGGAACAAGAAGACTGTAATTATGATTTGCTATGCAACGGTCTTTTGTTGTTATTTTCTTATCTAGATCCTAAATTTAAATATGGAATTTTTCTTCTCATCTCTTTCTGTATGAGTTTTCCATATTTATCCATTCTCTTTGTGTTTACATTTTTAGTGTTCTTGATCATTTTCATGGGCCAATAAATTCTATCCTGCTCGGTTGAATATAAATGCTTTTAAGTGCAAGCCTCTTGGTTATTAAATCCTACAACCTCACCTCTCTTGTTCCCTTCTCCCCAGCTCTACCAGGTGAATAAAAGCATCAGCACCACATAACATCTCTGATATTGTATTTCGCCTCCATTTGTTTTAACTAAGAAAACTGGCATTTATTTAATGGCCCTAACATAGTTTGGAACTGTCTTTCCTATCTATGTTTTTTAAAATTTAATTTAATTTAAGTTCTGGGATACATGTGCAGGACGTGCAGGTTTGTTACATAGGTAAACACATGCCATGGTGGTTTGAATCTCTCACTTTTCTTTGAAGTCGGTATGAATTTAAAATTTTTTGTATGTATTCATTATACTTGGATGTATTCAGGCAGCATATTTTCGTGTTACCTGCCTTTCAATGTTGCTACGTCATAATGTATATTTTATTTAAAAGCATACCTAATCTTACATATCTATAAAGCAAAATTGTTGAAATTATTTTCTTCTCAATAATTATCCCAGTCATGGTGTATAATAGAGGCTCAATATATAAACACAGATTGAATGAATATGTGAGGGGTGCACTTCTTCCCAGCTGTTGACATAGTCCTCTTTTTCAGTGGTACTATAAAACTATAATACTGACTCCTACGACAAAGAAGATAACCTCGGAAAGGGAGGTGAACTGGATTCAGGGAGCCTCGTGGAATACAGCGAAGGTCAATGAACATCAGCAACTTTATCAGCTGAGCATCAGTCAGTCAGCAAAAGTGACCAATAAAGCAAACTTTGAAACATAACCAAGCCCCACCCCAGATAAAAAGCCCGTGGCATATCCCTATTGACTGTCAGACAGAATACATTCTTTCTGGAAAGATACATATTTCCTGCCACATTTCCTGCCAATGTTTTGCTTCATGCCCAAGGTAGCCTAGTCATCCTTGTTTTTGATTACGCAGTTCACACATAGGTAATAACTTATTTTTCCTTGTGCCTTTATATTCATAGATTTGCAAATGTTACTCAACCGTTTCCTTTACTCTTTTAGCTAGAATAACAAACTTTTTTAATTATTGAAAGTATTTAAAGTATTTCTGTTGACTGTTTTCATTTACTCTCCATGTTTCTCAATAAATACTAGTGGGACTTGTAGATTCTTCTACAACTAAAGTCTTAACCATGACTAAATATGTTTGGGATAGAAATTGTAAAAATTACTTTCATAGGATATGATAGCTTCTAATTGCTCTAATATGTTCTATATTATTGCATGAATATATTTGGGAATCAATTAAGTTTAGACATAAAAATAGTTTTAAAATTTATTTACTATTTAGAAGCCTGAAAACATAGTACACAGAAACATAATATCAAATGATTCTTTATCTTATGAAAAACTACTCAATCTGGCTCAAAATAACATAAATGCTGACTAAACTACACTGTAATACTATTTCTCATATATTGAATAAAAAGTTAAAAATCATTCTCTGTTGGTAAATCTATAAAATAAATAGGCATTCGGACATCATAGCTAGTGGAAATACAAAATGATACAACTTCTGTGAAAGGGAATTTGGAAAATTCTCTATTCTAAGTATATGATGAGAATTTACTCTTAGTTTCAGAAATATAAATTCTAGGGTTCTATTCCTAAGATTCTGTGGCAAAACCACAAAATACTAAAATGACATATACACAAGATTATTTTTATTGTAGCATGTTAGTAATAATAAGAAACTAGAAATAGGCCTTTTGTCAACTGTAGGACACTAGTTGAATAAAGTATGGTAGACACACCTGATAAATTAACAAAAAATAAGAAAGATTAACTATCTCTAGGATACACTGTAAGATTTTTTAAAAACCAAGCCAAAGGAGAGTATTGTCAAGCTAAAAAAAAAAAAAAAAAAAAAAAAAAAAAAAAGGAGATCTAGAAACATCTTTATAATAAATTACCTTTTCTATGAAAAAGGGATGTTGGCAATATAAACATTATATACACTCATGCTTATATTTTCAAGATGAAACTATTAAAGAATAAAGCCAGACTAAACCAAATACAGTTATATGAGGAAAGAGGGAACTGGGGGAGAATATAGAAACAGAGATGAGACTTCTAACAATACATTTACTTGTATAGTTTTGATTCTGAAACCAAGAATATTCAGTCAAAAAGACACAAGCAGTGTGTCTTTTATAGAAAATAGAAAGCGAACTAAAATTGATACACTAAACCCTATATCAAGGAAGTACTATAACCTCCAAGAGAAGCTAACTGGGTCCTGTGACTTTAAACATTATATTTTGACTGAGTACCCTTGACAGAAATGATTTTAATGATAGAAAAAAAAAATCTTAAACTTTGAACAATGTAGCAGAAGTGTATAGGAACTAAAGGGGGTAGAGAAACAAGATAACCAACATCACGAGGTAACAGTCAGAAAAGTTTAGGTAAAATCAAATCTGTGTTCCATCATCTACAGGATAAATGATGTGGCTTTTCGGACACATCAAATGATATCAGGGCAAAAAAGAATTGTTATTAAATAAAAGACACAAGAGATGTTCAAATCCTGATCTGAATCAAACCAATTTTAAAAATGTATATTATTAAGGGCTGTTGAGAAAACTTCAGTCTAGACAGGCTATTCTATGCAGTTAAAAAATTTCTGTTTGACAGTGATATTAACTTGGTGGTTATTTTAAAAAAATACTCTTATAGAATATGCTTAATAATAAAGATACATAAACTATCTACAGAAAAATGAGATGATGATGTCTACGGTTAGCTTTAATATGCTCCTGAATTATTTTAAAAGAAACATTTAGGGCAGATATAATAAGATTAGCAAAATGTTATTCATTGTTGAAGGTGGGTAATAGATACATAGGGGTCCATTATATTAGGTTGGTGCAAAACATTTAAGTAATAGCAAAAACTGTAATTGTTTTTGCACCAATCTTATAATATCCCCTATAAATTAGAATCTCCAAATATAATAACAAATAAACTGCATTTTAAATCTCTCCTTGAGTGTTTCTGATATCCATCCAGGATTAGAAAATGTTGTTACCTAGCAACAAAAAATATGTTTATGGATTCTTTATGTATCTAAGTCAAGTGCCGAAAATTCAATTGTTTGGCTAATAGATTCTACTATTCGTTATTCTTGTCCTTTAGTTTGGTTCTAGGTGAACCATATCTTTATTCTTCTCCTCCTTTGGTTCTTACTCCTACTCTTCTTTTCATTTCAATAATGCAGGATAACTTAAAGAAATTTAAAGTTGTTATTGAGCAAAAAGTGCTAGCTGCCCGATGCGCTAGAATTCAATACTATGGCACTGGAGTTTTTAAGGAAAGCTTTATATTGAAATTTTACTTTCAAGGAGAGAGAAACCAAACTCAAATCTGTGTCCCTGTGCTGCCTTCAACCCTTAGAAAAGGTTTAGGGGCTGGATACTGGGATTAGCAGGTGATTGGTCAATAAATGTGACTATTTAGATAAAATAGATAGATTCCATGAAAGATGCAAACTATGAAAGCTTATTAAAACAAAAAAAAAAACCCTAATAACCTGAATAGTCCTAAAATCTACTTCTGAAATTGAATTCATAATTTTTAAAACCTTCCCACAAAGAAACTTCAGGCTGGGATGAATCATATGAAACATTAAAAAAGAAAAACATTTTCAAACATACATTTGAAGGGGTGAAAATATATTCTGATATATTCTGATTCACCTGGAGGCCAACATTAACCTGACATCAAAACTGCACAAAGACATTACAATTTAAAAAACAACAATAGAACAATATTCTTATCAACTCCAATGCAAAATTGTTAAACACAAGTGTCTGAAAAGGCCAATACATCATGAATAAGTGGGATATATGTTAGAAGCGCAAGGTTATTGTTTAACATTTGAAAATCAATAAATGTTATTCTTCATTAAAAATAAAACTTTTAAAAATGTAATTTCTCATTAGATGCAGAAAAGGCACTTTATAAAATTTAATACTTATTTCCAATAAAAAAACTCTAGCACACTAGGAATAAAAACAAACTTTCTCAATCTGATAAAGAGCATCTTTCAAAAATTAAAGCTAACATTGCAGCTAATGATAAAGGACTAAATGCTTTTTGTCTGAGATCAGGACAAAGTCCAGGATGCCTGACCCCTCCTTTTTTTACTCAGCATTTCACTGGAGGTTCTAGCCAAGGCAATAAGGCAAGCAATGAATATAGCAGTCATCTAAATTGAAAAAGAAGTAGTAAAATGTACTTATAGCCATTTAGTTTCTTAATTATATGTGCTTTTCTCTTTCTCTTTGTTCACCCTACCATATGGTTTTATTCTAAGTTATGTATACATATACCTTTACTATATATTTGTATATATTGCTCATTGCAAAATAATGAAAATTAAACCATGGAATTGTCTAGAAATACACTAATATAGTAGGTTAGTTAAACTGTGCAATTAATTCAATTATCCTATGCTGTAAATTGAATATGATTTACTGCATAATTTAAGAAAAAAATTTATAGTGAAGAAAATATTAATCAAACATAAAACAGGTTTAAATTTGATTTTTAAGTAAAAGCATTGACTAAAGAATTTAATCAGCAAAATTCACGAAGGTTAATCCAAAAATTCATTGGAATCTATTTAAGAATAAATTAATTCACTTGAAATGTATCACTAAAATTATTTCTTGATCTAATGGAGTGATAATCGAATACTTTTCTAATCTGAGGCAGCGGAGATAGTAGCACCACAATGTAATTACTTGTCTAGTAAAATACATAGTCCTTTTTTGTGGAAATTATTTGCTTTCAGATTCATGCTGAGAAGTGACCAGCTTCTCTTTATCATAATACAATTTAACAAAATGTAGCATTCCTTCTCCATCAAAGAAAGGCAATTTGGAAAATTAAAGAGTCTTTGGGTCTTAGCTCTTCAATCATCCTCCGTTGTTCTCATCAACTGAGAAAAAATAACTGTGAAAAAAATCTTGAAGGATTTAATTTCCTTCCATATTACTAAGCGGAGAGAAGTGATGCCCCTAAAAATGGTAATGACTCAGAGGCTAACACTAGCAGTGTCCTTCTTTACATACCTTTTCTGGGCCAAGTCAACTTCTTCCAGGCTCTCACAGGATAATTTACAGGTATATTTGCATGATCACAAGAATAACAAGTTTAGGCTGACTAGCACTAAAATGTCTAAGATACATATTATATTGACCAAGATTTCTTTTTTTCCTCCCTCTCTCACCTCTCGTGTCTTTCTCCTCTCACCACCACATATTCATCAGCACAACCATCAATCAATGGCACCAACAGAATCACTTCTTTATCAGAACTTAAACCACAAAAGAGGTATCCCGTAATTCCATAATCTGTTCTGCTCATTAAATCCTGGGTTTTAAGTGAGTAAATAAATTATTTGATGAGAATAATTTCAACCTGAAGTAATACTATTTAAGCGGTATTTTACAAAAAGATTTGCATGCTCTGAAATGGCAGTTATAAAGGCATTTGGAAAGGCAGCTATATAGATATTAAAGGAAGGATATTGATTGTAAAATTAATTCAAAAATATTCTTTCTAAAGTATTTTTGGGACAATCATCTTTGAATGATTATGGAAGGATGCAATAACATGTTATTTATATTAACTTAAAAATGAAAAAAATCACAAAAAATCTGGAAGCATGAAAAAAAATTGCCCCTTTTCTTACTTGAGTGGCACCATCAATGTGAGAAGTCTGATCTGTCTCTGTTTTGGGTGTACACATGCATGTGTGTTTCATAGCTGTAGAAAATTTTGTACAATATGTCATATAAAATTTTCACTTATAGTTTGGAAAATTCATTTTAGAAATCTGTAAGTACTTGATTAAGTATGAATTAACTTGTCCAGATGTGGTGGCTCATGCCTGTAATCACAGCACTTTGGGAGGCCAAGACAGGCAGATCACTTGAGGTCAAGTTTGAGACCAGCCTGGCCAACATGGTAAAACCTCGTCTCTACTAAAAATATAAAAATTAGCCAGGGGTGGTGGCCCATGCCTGTAATCCCAGCTACTCGGAGGCTGAGACATGAGAATTGCTTGAACCTGGGAGGCGGAGGTTACAGTGAGCGGAGATCCACCACTGCACTCTAGCCTGGGCAACAGAGCGAGATTCCATCTCAAAAAAAAAAAAAAAAGACAGTGAATTAACTCATAATTCCAGTGCTCTGATGAATCTTTGCAGAATAAAAATATTTTTATTTAAAATTGTATGTACATTCAATATGTTCTGTACAAATCATTGTTTACTTTTCTAGGGTTTTATTATGGAAAATTTCAAACATATATAAAGGTTAAGAAAATAGACCCCCAGGTAGCTAAATCCAGATGTGGAACTCATCCCTTTCTTTCATCTGACTCCTATTCACCTCCCATCTCCAAATGGATTATCTTGAAGCAAATTTCCAACATCATATAATCTCTATATATTTTAGTATGATTTCTAAAAGATAACTTTTAAACATAACCACAGTACCTGCAATATGTTACTCAGCTTTTAAATGTATATTTATATTACTACATAAAGATACATGATTTATTTTAACCGTTTTAAAGCACTCCAAGAAATCAGCACACAATAACCTATTTACTAAATCTCCTAATAATATTTTTTCCCAATCCTTATGCAGTAGAAACAAGACTGCAGTGAAGAACTTCTCATGTTACTAAATGTTGCCAAATTCTTCTCCAGACACCTTCCCAACCTGTATTCCTACACATAGTAAAAGAAAGCATTTATCCCTGTGTTTTCTAACACTGATAGTGACAGATATTTTCATTCTTGCCAATAGAAG